CTGGCGCAAAGCCACAGTAGTGGCAATACACAAGTCTGGATCTCGACAAAAAGCCGAGAATTACAGACCAGTAAGTTTGACGTCAGTAATATGGAAGTGTTTGGCGGGCCTAGTTAGAAGGCAAATATGCCAACACATGGTCAATAGTGGGCTATTGGTACCAGCTCAGCACGGATTTGTTGAAAAGAGATCTTGTCCAATAAACTTGCTAGTGGTTCTAGACGAGGTCACACGGAGACTTAATGAAGGTCTATCGATGGAGATATGCTATATGGACTTTCAGGAAGCATTCGACTCAGTCAGCCAGCATCTGGTAAATCATAGGATGCAATTATTGGGAATAGGTGGGTAAGTCAGGAGCTGGAAAATGGGCTTCCTTGCGCAGCGGACGTTTAGTGTCAAAGTAGGAGCTCCCACATCCGAGGAGGAGGTGATCACAAGCGGTGTACCCCAAGGATCCGTACTTGGACCACTGCTGTTCCTGCTCTACAATAATGACCTAGCACGGGATCTCTAAAATCCATGTTTTCTGTTTACAGATGACGTCAAGATAGCTGAATGGGATCTAGCAAGGGACATGAAGGTAGTAAAAAGATTGATCGAATAATGAGACCTACTACTAATCGTCTCGGAATGTCATATTCTGAGGAAGAACTGTCAGAACTGAAAAAGAGACAGCAAGGAGCCTATCAATACAAAGAGGCAAAGGATCTAGAAATAGTGGTAACACGGGATTTCAAAACCAGCAGACAATGTATGAAGGCCGCAAACAAAGCCAGAGGACAACTGTCATCCATGTGCAACAATGAATTGCAGATAACCCGAGGTCTTTTCCCCCTGTAGTATCTTACAGTTGAGTGAATGAAGATGAATTAAGGCGGAACAACATGTTGGCGTCCTGGAGGTTTGATTTGGCGGTTTCAAACACTTTAGGCGCCTCCGGAATGTAGGCAATGTATTTTGCACTACCATGGAGCAAATGAATGAGAGGGTGAAGTATGGCGGAACAATTGGGGTTAAAACGAATATAGTAATTAATTAAACCCAAAAACGGAAGTGGGACGGGGGAAGGCCTGAATGGCTTGAACCGTGGAAGACTGTGGGAGAATGCCTCGGGGATTAATCTCATGGCGAAGAAACTCTAAGTGTGAGACACCGAAAATGCATTTGGATAGGTTTAATGTAAGACCATAA